GTAGTTCTCATTTGCATTTTCCTAAAGGCTACTGATGATGCTTTGCATTGTTTTATGTTCATGTTAGTTGTTTGTGTATCTTCCTGAATGAAGTGTTTGTTGGGTTGGCTTTGTATACTTGTAAGAGTTTGTTATACTAAATACAAGTGCTTAATCAGAGACATGATTTGCAAAAACTTTATTCTTGTCTTTAATTCATGTTTTCATTTTTCTGATAGTATCTGCTTGAAGAATGGTTTGTAGATTCCTGTTTTCCTTTGATGGATTGTAGTTTTCGTATCATTTAGGAAGTATTTTTCCTTATTTATGACTATAGTCATTTTTTTTTCTCCATGTAGGATTTCTGTGTTTTTAGCTTTATTTACAAAGCATTTCCTTTTGAATTGACTTATTCCCTTATTTTCATTTTATTTGAAAGAGAGGAGAAGAAGGTTCCATGTGCTGGTTCCCTCCCAGCCAGGGTGAAGCCAGGAACTCAATCCAGATTTCCTTTGTGGGTGGCAGGGATTCAGGTACTTACATAGTCATCTGCTGTCTGCCAGGCTGGGAGCTGAGTTAGGAGTGGCGCTGGGACTTGAACTCAGGCACTGGCGTGTGGGATGTGGGTCTCACAAGTGGGGTTGTAACGATTGGCTTTCACACTGAAGTTGATGGTGCAGCTTGCACTGTTTCTTTTTCTATGTGTATAAAATGTGAGGTACATAGGCAGGTTAGTTTTTGGGATGGAGGGCATATGGATATTCAGTTGTGTTGAGCACTGTGTAAACAGCATTGTTTTTCTGTTGATTTAACTAGGCTAGCTGTATTGAGATTCAGCTGACCGTGAATGTACAGTATTCTTTCTGAACTGTTTTGTTGTATTGGATTGCGATGGTCTTCCCTTACCCCCAGGCGTAAGTCAGTCTATGGTTTCATAGATTTTTTTCTGTGGTTTTGATTACCTGCAGTCAGTTGCATTAAAATATTGCATGGAAAATTCCAGTTTTAAGTGGTTTGTTAAGTTTTTAGTTGTGTGGTATTCTGATTAGTGTGAAGAAATGTTATTGTGTGGGTCACTGTCCTGTCTGGAATGGGATTTATCCCTTTGCCCCTGTTTAGTATCTTAATTATTGGACTGGCTGTTATGCCTTTCCAATGCTGGTAATCAGATATGCTTTTCTTTTCTTTGTTTTTAAGATTTTTATTTTGGGGGGAAAGGCAGAGTAGTAGAGACACAGAGAAACATCTTTTGTATGCAGGTTGACTTCCTAAGTGGCCACAACAGCTGTAGCTGAACTGATGGAAAGCCCGGAGCCCAGAGCCTGTTCCAGGTCTCCCACATGGGTGCAGGTCCCAAAGAATTTCTAAAGCCACAAACAGGGAGCTGGATGGGAAGTGAAGCAGCCAGGACGCAAACTGGTGCCCATATGGACTCCTGACACATGCAAAGTGAGGATTTAGCCACTGAGCTTTTGCATCAGCCCCCCAGATAGTCTCTTATTTTACAGAAATTATCTCAAAATACAACAGCAGTGATGTTGACAATTTGGATATGCTTGAGAGAGGTCATCATGTGTTCACCTAAGTCTTATTATAGTATTTTATTGTGATTTTTCTATTTAATAATTTTTAGTGTGGTACTGTACCTTGTTGCCTGGTGCCAGGCTCTGCATCTGTGTGATGGTGGACAGCTTTCTTAAATAGCCCTTGACTCAGTTTTCTCATCCTAAAAGATTGGGTAATGGTACCTATTCAATGTGTTAATGTGAGAATTAAGTACTTTAAAAGTGGTAAGATGCTCAAATGGTATTGAAGTTAGCTGTTACTATTTGAACATGATTTATGTCAAAGAAATGTGAGTTGAAATAAGAATTGATTGACCTTTACAAGACAGTATTATAAGAAAAATGAAAGTTGGGATTTAATATCAATTTGGGAGTCGTAAGTAACATAAGTAATCCTAAATAGAATAGGATTGGATGAGATTCTACAAGTCCCTACATGAAAACTGTATGTTTTGATGTGTGCGCCATTGCGTTCAGGAGCTCTGAGCTGTGAAGTTCAGCAGCAGGCCCAGAAGAGGTTGAGTGCTCATGCGCAGATATCGCCAAAGGCCTAGGGGTTACAACACAGTGTCATCCTGGCTCTAGGTCCAACTTTTGCCTTTTAGTCCCTGACAGACCTCTTTATTCTGGATTCCAATTTTGGTGTTTTTCTTCCTTTCTTTCTTTCTTTCTCTTTCTTTTCTTTTTTTTTTTTTTTTTTTGGATGAATGAGATTGTCTTTTACTGTTTATTTTATGGTTAAGTCCAAGGATTTCTGGGAAGATGCTTCTGAAGGATACTTGGAGTTAATGGGTTGGTAATGTTGAGTGGGGGATCAGCCTAAGGACCTTCAGGAATGAGGGTAAAATTGTATAATTTACTGAAATAAATTTTAGTATGCTTGCATCTTTTCTGAATTGTCAGTATTTGCATTTATGGTTTAGAAAGCTTAAAATTTTAAGAAATACATTGCTTTGGTATCTCTTCAAATTTTGTGACCCACATTTAATGCTGGTGTAGAATTAACCATTGAAGACAAAGAAGGGTGGAGAGAGAGTGTGCAAGCGAGCAAGAGTGCTTCCATCTGCTAGTTTATTCTCCACTTGTCCCCATGTGGGCCAGGCCGGAACCAGGAACCAGGAACTCCATCCTGAGTCACCACACGGGTGGCTGGAACCCAACCCAGCTACTTTCTTTTCTTATTTAATTTCTTATTTTCTTTTTTGTTATACTTACATAGTTGAGGGATGAACTCCCACATGAGCCTCTGATCAGGGTGGGGAGGTTCAGGTTCAGACACTGAGGAAAGTGGGTAAGACAAATATTTACTTTTTCTTTTTTTTTTTTTTTTCCTTCTCCTGTGTCCCCTGGGGAAGAGGGCAAGAGGGCCACTCCTTTTTTTTTTTATTATACATTTTTATTTTGACATTCTTTACATAGTTAATTAGGGTAAGAAGGTTCAAGAGCTACAGGAAAGTGGATAATACTCGTATGTTTTCCATATTCTTACCTTCATGTTTAAAGGGGGGTATTAAGGGAGAAGACCCACCCAATTTCCCACCCTCCCCAGGTCCTGGATGTAGGGCATGCTCTGAGGTTCTTGCTCAAGTGGTTTTGCTATTGCAACAGTTATGAATTGCTGTCAGTCTTGCCACTCCAACCACTATGAGGTCTTTGAAAAATCTACTGATTGACATAGTCCATCGTAGCTGAGCTGGTTGTTTGACCTGTTCTGTCTTCTCTCGTTTCTTGGTTAGGGTTCTGAGTCCAGCATTTAGATTAGGAAGATCTCCATAGAAACTTCTTGTATGTGCTAACAAGTACAGGACCTGGCAAGGTCCATCGCCCCAATCAGCTGGTGGTTGCAATTGCTGGGTTGGTTCTGTTTTCACTCCCGACTTCCACTGGAACCAATGGGTATTGCAGTCCAGCCTGGATCTAAGAGGGCCACTCCTTGTTGTCAAACTACATCAGTACTTGGTGATGGGGGAGATGAGCAATTGATGATCAAGGAGACCCCATTGTGGGGAAGTATTCCAAGGTGTTTCTTGAGTGATTTTGGTAGTTCTGAGAAGTTGTTGGTCTCAATGCACCAGGGTTGAGAATGCAGGAGAGAGAGGCATCCTAGCTCAGCCTGGCCAACCTCCAGTCTGAACTCTAATTCTCTCCAGTTGTCCCCTACCAGGCCTATTCCCAGCCGCAGGTCTTGCATGGGTCAATGGGTGCTGTGACCAGTTTGAGACAGTCTGCTTGCAGTCTTGACATTTTCCAGCAGGTGCAGCAGTCTAGCCTACGTTACTGAGCGTGTGATTCCCAGAATTACATGTCAGCAGAAAGCAGAATCAGAATGAATGTCAAACCTGGGGACTCTGAAGGAAATGTGAGCACCCCAAGCAGCAACTGAAGCTGTGTGCCAATTGCCTTCCCTTCAGGTCAACATTTTATATGGACATATTTAATGTTAAATTCCAAACTATTGCTTTTTTTTTTAATGTAATTCCGTAGGGTTAGGTCCACCCCCAGCCCTGGTTCTCTTGCATGGTGGTTGCTGTCATGGTTTAGCATAATGTGACCCATCCCCTTATCCAACACTCACTGTCAGATACTGAGATCTAGCCCTGTCAGACAGGTCCCCAGCCATGGATTTCATGTGTACAGCTGTGTGGTGGTCAGCAGTGTTCCATGCTAACAAGCCCAGCCCAAGTTTCCCATGTGGGCTGGTGCATCAGTCTGACCCTTAAAGATCTTTAGGTCTCTCCCCTCCGATCCACTGAGTCTCATTCCCCTTGCTTACCTGCAGTACAGTGGCCTTGTCATTGGGAGTCCCTCAGGATCCATTCCTCATCCACACAATACTCCCAGGATGGTCCTTCCTACCCCATATCTCCTTGCTCCTTTCTCTAATCAATCCACAAGCCTTGTGCCTAGCCCAGTCTTCGGAAGCCCACTGGGTGGTGTGGTGGTCCTGTATTCTGCCATCCACCAGGGTCCCGAGCTCCTGTCATATGTGCTAGCCTGGTGTCTTACCCCTCTACACACCCAAGATCCAGGCCCATTGCGGGTTCCAGGCCTGGTCCACCAGCTCACCAGAGCAGTGTGCTGACCTGGGGCTCTTTCTTCAGCTCTCCTCACCTCACCCAGGACCAGACACATAAGGAAATCCCCAGGTTCTCTCCACCTGCCTAGTGATGAGCTCCCGGTTCCCCAATGCCCACCAGTGTTATGCCCTTAGCCTTCCCCCAACTGAAGCTGCAGCCTCAGCCCCCTCACCCCCTCACCTGGTGCCCTGGGAGCATGGCAACAGGATGATGCCATCCCCTGGTGTGCCTAAAATGTTTTTAAAAACCTTAACTCTCATGTGGTGAATATATTTCAAATATGTGGTTTTAAGAAGACGGTATGGTCACCCTTTTCCTTCTCTCATATATTCTTCCTCCTTTCTTACATTTCTTTTATTTTTTTTTCCATTACTTCAAGTGGGCAGCTTATATCGTGGAAAGAAACCTCGAAGGCCTAAAGAAAGAAAACACTTGTGATGGGCAAAAGTGAGTATCTTAGTGTTAACATTTGTTTGTAAAGATTTATTTCTTTATTGGAAAGTTAGATGTACAGAGGAGGCGAGACAGTGAGAAAGATCTTCCATCCGATGATGCACTCTAAAAGTGACTGCAACGGCCGATGCTATGCCGATCCGAAGCCAGAAACCCGGAACTTCTTCTGGGTATCCCACCACAGGTGCATGGTCTTAAAGATTTGGGCCATCCTCGACTGCATTCCCAGGCCACAAGCAGGGAGCTGGATGGGAATTGTAGCTGCCGGGATTAGAACCCGCACCCATATGGGATTATAGTGCGTTCTAGGTGAGGACTTTAGCTGTGAGGCCACCGGGCCCTTAGTGTTAACATTTTAAAACTACTTTACTTACTTTCTTACTTTCTTAACTAGGTAATTCTGTCATAAGGATTTGTAACAAGTTTTCCAGTGCATCTGGCCTCTTTCATTGTGAATTATCTACTCGTTATTTTTCCATTTGAAATACTTAGCTAAACTGAACTATTTCTTGGAAGAAACTTTTGTCACATACTTGTACAAATTTTGTTTTTCACTCTTTGATAAAGATATGTCCTAAGTCAGCAGCTTGTGTAGGTTCACTAAATTGGAAGCCACACTTTGCCCACCGATGCAATGCTATCTGCTCACTTGTGAAATAACTCCTTTCCAGGGATGCCTCTCTGCACGTGGGACCTGAAGTGGCAGTATGTCACATACCAGTCTCCTTCATGCCCCCTTAGAGCCCAGGCTGAAGAGAAACTCATAGTCTTGCAAGAGATGCAGCACAGACGTGTAGAAAAAAACGTAAGATTGTGAAGCCAGAGTTGCCGCAGTCAGAAGGATGGAATGTGAACGGCCGAAGCTCTGACACAGTGACGCTTGCAAGTAACAGCATCTTTTGATGACTGTTTGAAGAACAATCTTATTATCTCAAGTCCTAGTTTTGCCGTATGAAGACTGCAGCCCAAAGCAGAAGAAGCAGGAAGCAACTCTGGAACACTTAAGTGCTGCACTGTGGGGAGGGGAGCAAGAGCAACTCTTGTAAGATGGAGCCATGAGCAGCCAGCCTCTATGGGTGCTGGGGGAACTGGCTGAGCCCTCCTGGCCCTGGAGTGGCAGGCAAGATAGTTTGGGTATGGGGAGGCTGGCAAGCTGGCTCTGGAGAGGATGGTAATAAGGCTGTGGGCACAGGAGGCATAGCCAGAGCCAGCCAGACTGTGGAATGCCTGCGAGCTGGAGGCGCCAGCACAGTCGATGTGACCCTGGAGCAGCCAGCTGCCAGAGGGTAGCTGTGGGCACTGGCTGAGCCTGCCTGGCACTAATGATCAACAGGCAAGCTGGGGACTTAGGAGGCGCTACCAAAGCCAGCCTAGCCCTGGCTTGGCTGTGGTGTGTGGTGGCAGGGCAAGCAAGCTAGATGAGCTGGGGACCTGGGCTTGGGAGCCTGGTCCTGGGGACAAGGGATATTGCACTGTGGGCAGGAGGGTCACCGACTGAATTGGCCTGTCCCCAGAGTGGGAAAGGTGCTGTGGAATGGATGTGCAAGGTGTGCAGTGGACACAGCACAAGTGGACCTGGTGTTGGAAGAGCAGGCTAGTGAGTGGTGTGCTGGGGATGCTGGGTCACTGGGTTAGCCCTGCAGATCCTGGAGCAGCTGGCAGGGTGGGAGGGTGGCAGGGTGGGCAGGATAGGAGTGCAGTGGGGAGGGGTCCTGGGAGAGTTGAGCCGGCCATGAAATGGATGATGATAGTCCTGTGGGTGCAGGGATACCAGCGGAGCCAGCTTGGCAATGAAGCAGGTAGTGGGTGGGCTAGGGACACAGGGTGATCTGACCTATCAGACTTGGCCCTGGAGCAGCCAGCAGATGGCTTGGGGACTGGGCTGTCTGGTTGAGCACCACTTGGCCCTGGAGCATACCCTATGCATGCTAGGCATGCTTATGGTGCTAGGGGAACTTCCTGCGGGCCACTAGAGCAGTGGGTGGGAGAGTGGCTTAGGCGGGCTAGAGTCATGTGGGGCAACAGCTGAGCCTGCCTGGCCCTGTAACAGCTTAGAGGCAAGCTGGGAAAGAGAGGGGTGTTCTGTGGGCCAGCCTGGCCCTGGGGTGGATGGAGGGTGGCAGGTGCATTGGCCATTGTGGAGTGGTCCTTGAGCAGCAGGGGATGGTGGTGGGACAGGTGGACATTAGGAGCTTGGCAAGCATTGGCAGAGCCCACCTGGTCTTGGAGCAACTCATGGCACAACTGGGTGGGTAGGCTAAAGGCATAGGGGTTTCCAGTCCAGTTGCCTTGTGCCTGGCTGCCTAGAATATTAGAAGCACAGCAGTCCCTGGAGGAGTGAACCTGGTCCTGAAGTGCCAGGAGGAATGACAGAGCATGCCAGCCCGGGACCCAGGGTCTCTGACAAAATGGGCCAGGTCCTAGAGCAGCAGGTGGCCATGCTGCCTACTGAGGGAGCATGGTCACTGGGCGATCCCATCCTGCCCTGGAGCAGCCAATGGGGCTGGCAGGCTAGGGTTTGGGCCTAGTGACACCAGCAGAACCTGGCCCTGAAGCAGCAAATGGGACAGTATGCAAACCTGCTTTGTGTGGGCAGCCTTCAGCAGAGCTGGCCTTGAGGTGTTGCAGTGAACAGGTGGGCTGGGGATGCGATGGCTGCTGCCAAAGCCGGCATGGCTCTGCAGCCACAAGTGGGGTGGCAGGGTGGACATGGTGGCAGGGTGGGCATGCTGGCTGTGGCTGGGTGCTAGCCAGCTGGTATGTCCCTGGAGTGGGTGACAAGTATCTGTAGGCAAGGGGTGTGGTGGGAAGGGTTGCTGATGGAGAAGCTTGCCTTCCCCAAGAGCAGCAGGGGCCAGCGGCTTGTTGTGCATGAGGCATTGGCCAAGTCCCGCTGACAGTAGAGGGGCTGGTGGGTGGGCTGGGTATGTGGGAGGCCACACATGAGCCATTTTTTCGCTGAAACAGGTAAGCAGGGCAGTGAGGGGGACATTTGTTGCTGACCTTCGGTGACACTACCTACGAGGCACACTCTTGAGGGTCTGGGAAAAGCCGGAACTGCAACCGGACCCCTTATTGCCAAAAGCGGCTGCTTTTATACTTTTTCTCCACTGCTTTTTTCCCTGTAGGTCTTCTCTGCTGCTTTTCTAGCCCTCTCTCTGATGCTTTTTTCCCCGTTCTCCTCGTAGGCCTTATTGCTTTTGTATCCCTCTCTGCTGCTTTCCCCCCCGTTCTTGTCCCTGTACTTTTCTCTGCATAGGTCTTACTGCTTTTGTAACCCCTCTCTGCTGCTTTTTCTCCCTCTATGCCTTAGCTTTTCGCTTAGCTTTTCTACCCCTCTCTGCTGCCCCATTCTTCTCATTCCATCTTATAGCTGGTCCATCTTATAGCTTTTAGCGGCTGCTTTTATACTGTTCTCCACCTATCACTTCTCCCTGTGGGTCCACTTGGTGCTACCTGATAGTCCAGTTGCAATGACATAATTGCAGCGAGGGCATCAGCCTATCCCTGTGACTTCCTGTTTGCTTGCTGGTAAGACCAACTCCGCCTCCTGGCCCTGGGGAGGCTGCCATCCTGAGAGGGCCTTTCCTATTCCTGGGATGTACTTTGGCACCCTGCTCCCCTCAGATGTGGGCATGCTCTGGGCCCGGAGATTCAGATCCTATGGGCTGTTGCTACAGATTGCTGTCAGATGGACCCAGCCCTAGATCAATAGGCAGCCCCTGCTGAGGGAGCAGGTGGGTGGCTGAGTGTACATGTGCCTGGAACAGTTGG